ATTTAATATTCTTACTTCATGAATGTTTAAAACCTTTGTGACTATGTATTTGTACCACTCTTTGTTGTCTTGTTGTTGTATATTCTACTCCTGTTCATAAAGATTTTTTTCCTACTCATAAAGAAATTCATATTCTTTTGCTGTTTTTAGTTTAAATAACCAATAGTTTAAAAATATTTAACTAATAGTTTTTAATGGAGTAATTATACTCCTAAAATTACAATGTAGGACATTAAATTTTTAGAACCTAGAAATTAAGAGAGATAATTTAGAGTTCATTTTATTTTATAGATGAGAACACTGAGGTCCAGAGATGTTTGTAAATTTGCCTAATATCACTTGGTTAAATAGAAGGATGGTCAGGAAGAAATGAAAGTAAAACAAAATGTCACTTTCTAAGGGAGAGATTTCTAATATTGGGTTCTTGGACTCCCAGGAGGGTCATGGAGGGCTTTAGGAGTATATGAGTGCTCTGAAATTGAGGATCCATATCTTTCATAAAAACTTCAAGAGTCTCATCTTAGAAAGCCCAAAAACTATGGCTCTATGAAGACAATGCTGAGAATAATTTTTGATTAAAAATAACTTTTCTGTTAAAAAAAAAACCTCTTGAACATGGAGACTCTGAAAAAGCAGCATATATATGTATAAATAAACACATAATTCATATAAATATATAAACACAACAAATGCGATTAATTAGTTACTTCACGTCAACTATGGCACACAGCTTTGACTAGTTTTCTCTGATTTTTTACCTGTAAGTCAGAGAAAACTGGTCATACCTTTCCCTAGAAACATAAGCTATTGACAGTCTGATTGCCAGAATAATCTGTTTAAAGTGAGACATAAACAATGTTCAGAACAACAGTGTCCTGAAGCAGCATGGTCCATTCTCTGCATTCTCTATGTCTGTACCTCCCAGGGAACTGGTTAGCTGGCATTCTTTGAGAGTGCAACTCCTCAAGCATTCACTGACTCAATATTATAGAATTGAACAAGTAGAGGAAGAAAGTTTATTCTTAAAAATATATATTTTCTCATCTCAATGTTAGCCATGTTTCCTTGTATGCATGGACAATAGAGTGTAGCAGCTGTTGGTGAGATTATGCAAACGGTAGGCACTTTTGCACTCCAAGTAAATCTTGCCTTTTAATCCCATCAGAAAAAAAATAAGCTGTACATAAAGAGAGAGATTCCAAAGCCATCTTACAAGCAGAAATTTTTTATATATGTGAGTCACATATATAATTGTAAATTTCCTACTTGTGTCATTTAACAAAAGTTAAAAAGAAAGGCAAATGATTTTAATAGTATATTTAGCAATATATAAAAGTTATCACTTCAACATGTAATCTGAATAAAAATTATCTTACATTTTTTTCATATTAATTATTGGATGTCCATCATTTATTTTACATTCACAGCCTATCTTAATTTGTACACTAAATTTTCATAGGAAATATTGATCTGTGTTTAGATTTCATAAAATTTACTGGTGAAATAGGTGATTTACATACCCAAGTTGTTCCAAAATACTTAAAAACTTTCTAATAAATCATGAAGGATCCATAATATACGACTCAAATGTTAGTTTTTAAATTTAACATAAATTGAGGTGAGTGGATTGCCTGAGCCTGCGGGTTTGAGACCCGCCTGGGCAGCGAGACCTCATCTCTACAATAAATCAAAAAATCAGCCGGGCGTGGTAGCGCATGCCTGTAATTCCGGCTACTCGGAAGGCTGAGGTGGAAGGATCGCTGGAGCCCAGCAAGTCAAGGTTGCGGTGGCTGGGAGCGGCCACTGCACTCCAGTCTGGGTGACGGTGAGACTCCAACTCAAAAAAAAAAAGAAACATAAATTAATTACAATTACATAACACTACTAATTTTGTTCATCAATTGTACTAGGTACATTTTAAGGACTCAGTAGTCACATATGGCTAGTGCTGCCATATTGAACAGTACAATTTTAGCATGTAAAGATAAGATTAGCTGTTTGCTGGCACTCATATTCTGAACTTGAGAACAGTAATTGAACTGCACTTCAAACTGCTCTACTCTTTCCTATGTACACTATTCCCCTTAGTTTGTAGAAGAATAAGTCTGTAACCAGTATAACAACGTATCTGACTTGAAGGTTGAAATGGGTGTACCTGCCATTAAAGTTCAAGTATATTTAGTTATGTCAAGACTGAGTATAATGCTTCAAAGGAGTCTATACCCCTGGGGTTCCCTCAGTCTGAAATGTTCCCAACCCAGTTCATGTTCAGTCTGAGTGTCTTAGCTCAAACACTGCTCCCCAAGGGAGGCTTTCTCTGACTGTCCAGACCTGGTTAAATCTTGTTTTTAAGGAACCCACCATATACTTTTCCTTTTACAGTGTCATTCAACATGTAATTTGCTCATTACCTGCCTCTTCATCTATGGGAGCAGGGATTACATTTGTCTTATTTATCATTATATTTCTAGTGACTAACACAGAGCTAGAAACATTACATTTGTTGCATGAATGAACAAACGAATGAATCAGTTTTTAGTAAAGTAACCTCAGCTGATCTCTGTACACACTTCTCATGTTCCATGGAAGAATTTATAAAACAAACACATTTTTATAACTTTTTGGTTGAATTTTCCCTGCCAAGCCTTACCTGTTGTTGAGAACTTAAGAATTGGGAATACTGACTTCCTGAAAGTGAGGAGATTGTGTTGAAGTTGTGCAGAGGTTAATAATTTTTAGATCAACTCCGACATACAGGAAACTTTTATAGGAGAGAGGAGTGTTCAGCTGAAAACAAGGAGTAATCCATACCAGTAGCAAATAAGGGATATCACCTCCAAGGGAAGGTTTCTATCGTGGGGACAGGTTTAGAAGTGCTGAAACATACAAGCAACTCTGTGAACAAGGCTGTTTGAACACATTCATGTTCACAGGCTACAGCAGCTCTGTGGGTATTCCAGAGGACCAGCCTTCTCAGGCTAAGTACATCCTGCTTGGCGAGCTTCTTTTCATCTTTAATGTGTTTTTTATATCTCAAAAGGTCACTGCTTGAAAGTTCTAATGAGAATTAGAAACAACACAGTGTAAAATTTTGACAGGACCAAAGGGAAACCAGATGCTGTCCTCACAATTGAGTAGATATGGATAAATAGTATTTTACTAGAAAAAGGACTATGAGAATAACATTGGTGAATGTTCTTCTTTTTTGTAAGACTCACAGTTCTTAGCTATGGTCCTCTAAGGTAGTTTCCATTTTCTCATGGAGGTATTGTAAAATTCTTAAAACACAACTGTTATTTTTATTTTTGCCACACGTTATACTTTTCTGAAGAGAGAAATGTGAACACTTAAAAATGATTTACAGAAGCCATTAAAAAATCAAACCAACACTCCAGAAAGTGGAGATTCACTGACATTGTTTTTATTGAGTACTGGACAACTAGAAAAATTTTTGAAACAACCAAGCAGACTTTAAAAGTAAAAATCATGGTAAATTTTTTGATTGAGAAATAAAACTGGAAAAGCAATTTAAACAATAAATAATCTGTTTATTGAATTCTCTAGTCTGAAAAGGAACATTTTGGTCAAGCTCTTGTTATTGAAAAACATTGCTGAGATGCAGTTGTGAGTAGTATAAAGTGAAGGACCAAGCAGGCTAGAGTAATGAATGACAAGTAAGTGAAATGATCAACCATGAGGAGGAGGGAGGCATGGCTTAACGAGGAGAAAACTTCAACAGACTATGGCTTCAGTACTGATGCTCCCTGTTCATCTCGTTATGACTGCCTTGTCATGATGGAATGGAGGGGTCATAGAATTCATTTTTTAAATCCATCTTTTTATTTCTTGAGAAAGCCCTAATGAAATAAGATCAGCTTCACTCAGATGCAGAATTGTTATATCCACATTTTATAGATGGATGAGTTTAAATTATTTGCCTAAGGCCAAACATTTAATAATTGGCTGAGCTGGGCCTCCATGTAGTTCTGTTTCTGAAGAATCTCCTACACCACAAATTCATTAATTTACAGTGGGGCATAGTTTTATTCAGGAATGAGATTAATGATGTGGACATATAGACCATGACCTCTTGGCATCATGTGAAATGGGTTAGGTATGAGCTGGTTGCTTGAAGAGTGAGGAAGCTGAGTGAAGATTATTGGATAGACTGGAAAGATACCCAACCAGGCTAGTGTCAGAGCAGTGATGAACTCTGCTCATAATAGAGTTATTCTGTGTCGCTATGGACTGCAATCCTCATGGCCTCCATATTCAGGAACTATCGTCTCTGTCTATTCTGGACAAATGCCCACATATTCTTGCTTTTTAAGTGTGCCTCCTTTTTTCAAATTCCTTTATATAATAGGCTTTCTTTATTTTCTAAATTATACCTGAATCTTAACTCTTGCCATCTCCAGAATGATTTACTGTACTGTCCTTGGTTGATCTCATAGCCCTTCTGCTGTACATCCATAGGCTTACTTTAAACCTTGTATACAAATGGCAAATGTATACTTTACACATTGGTTTTCACTGGTTTTGTTTCTGAATGAAAACCTTATTTCCAAGTTCTGAAAACACCTTACCTCATGGTTTTCTTATGCTAATATGAGTGTTGTAGGAGCTCATGGAATAATCCAAAGATGTGATCTCTGTACTAATTAAGTAATCAGATTGTACCTTTGATGTAGAGTAGTAACAAAATCAAAAGTATTTTTTTAAAAGCTGCAACCTATGTATATACTCTTACTATTGCAAAATCACACTAATAAGAAAAGCGCCTAGAAATTTTATTTTGGATCCACTACTTTCCGAAAAATGTTTAAAAAATCAACTTAACATGAAACTAAAATTAATGACAAGTGTGGTTATAAAGTGTTTTCTTATTTTCGTCTACATAAAAACATATACATACTCACACATTTTCTCTTGAGTACTTTCATGGACCAACACTCCCATCACTCCAGATACACACACTAATTGGTGTTATGTTTTAGCAGTTTTGGGGATACCACCATCACAGAATTTGCAGCCTGGAGTACTTCTGAAATTTCCCAGAATGCACTGATGTACTATAGTGGTCGACTATTCTGGATCAATGGCTTTAGAATTATCACAACTCAGGAAATAGGTCAGAGGACCAGTGTCTCTGTTTTGGAACCAGCCAAATTTAACCAGTTCACAATTATTCAGACATCCCTCAAGCCTCTTCCAGGTACAATGTTTCATTCCTGTCTGACCCTGTCTCCCAAACTTCAGTTAAATAATATTTTGATTCAATTTTTTTTCTTAAGAATTAAGTTTCAAGTGAAACAAGGAGTTAGTATAATAGTTTGATTTTCTTGCTGTCTGCTTAGTTTTACTGAACTTATAGACTGAAAAAGTCAGAGAAGGAGTTTCAGGATATATTAAAGGAGAATAACATTTTTTTAGTTCTAATTATTAGGAATTTCTATTGATTTTCCATGATTTCTACATTGGTCACTCATCCCAAATCCTTTCTCCTTCTATTTCTTTCTTTCTTTCATTCCATAGGAAACTTTTCCTTCACCCCTACAGTTATTCCAAATTCTGTTCAGGAGTCTTCATTTAGGATCAAAGGAAATGCTTCAAGTTTCCAAATCCTGTGGAATGCTCCCCCTGCAGTAGACTGGGGTGTAGTTTTCTACAGTGTGGAATTTAGTGCTCATTCCAAGGTATGATGTTGGTTGTAGTAACTTTCATTTCTTAAACAGAGTGTGCCATCTGTATTGCCCCTGCCCACACTGATTTGTAATGTCTTCACTAAGCCAAGCCCATCTTCTTTGTCATTCCCATAGCATTTGCTTGTTAAGGTTATTCCCAAGAACACTCATTAACAGCCAGTCTATGACTGTGTGGTGTTAACTACTGTGCTGGACACACTTTAACTAGTTTCTGTGGTGAAACATGAAACTTGCCAAAAGTAGCATTTCAAAAATTGCACATTTTGATTGTACATGAGAATTTTATTTAATTAGGAATGAGAGATTTTATAATTCTCCTCCTAAGAAAATAATGTTTTGTGTTTATATTTTAGTTCTTGACTAGTGAACAACAGTCTTTACCCATATTTACTGTGGAAGGGCTGGAGGCCTATACCTTGTTTAATTTTTCTGTCACTCCTTATACCTACTGGGGAAAAGGCCCCAAAACATCTCTATCACTTCGAGCACCTGAAACAGGTACAGGGATCAAAATCTCTCTTTAAAAAAAGGGGGGCAGGGGGCCAGAATCTCACTTTCCATGATCTGGCATGGATGGTTAATAATATTTTAAAGTAATTTTCAGTTTTGTAGGTATGTTTAGATTCAATACCCTTTCAATGACTATTTGGAAATTAGAATAGCACCACTAACATAAATCTGAATAATTTTATTCCAAGCAAATATTTCAAAGATGTCTTAACAACGGTTTCATTTGATTGTAGTGCTGTGTAAGATGCAGACATGTTTTAGATAATTTGTAAAATCTTTCATAAGGAAAGTGGGCACTTAAAAGCGGAGACAGTTTTTTTGGAAGGCAGCCTGTTCTCATAGATGGTAACTCAGAATCGTCTGTGAGTGAATAACTGATGTCTAAAATGACTGTTTTGGGAGAAATATGTTTTTAAAAGGATACTAGTCATATTATTACACGTGTATATCAGTTTAAGGTATACAAAGAACATTTGTTTGTATTTTTACTAAATATTTATTACATACCTATCATGTGTTAGAAACATTATTTCATTTGATCTTCACACAACTCTGAGGAACCTGATCATGCAAAGGAGGAAATGAAAGCCTGGTAGCTGCCCAAATAAAATAACTACTAAGTGACAGAGCTGGGACTTAATCCAGACTTTTCACTATAGTTTTATCAAATCTCCATTCAGTTGTCATGGCAAATGTTGGAAAATGATAGTATCGTATTGATTTAATTTATATAAACTTCCTAGCACAGGACATGGTGGGCAGTAAGAGCTCAATACATGTAGATATGCATTCACCACTACATTTTTTGCTATTAAGATTCTTTCAACAATATTCATTCACAAGTCTCACAACAAGAACGTAGTTAGAGCTTGGCAGTTTCTGGAGCAGTTAGCATTTGGATCCAGGTATGCTCTGTTTGGGATTGTCTCAGGATATCCACTTTGGTTGAATCAGCTTGTGGAAATGGACTCCTACCGCATCCATCAGGGAATTCACGGGGAGCAAGGGTCAATAGCACTCTGTGGGTTGTTGGGGGTAATAAGGAAGAATGATAAGATTTGGCCTTTGCCTTCGGGAAATTTACAATACAGTCAGGAAATCACTTAGATTGACCAGTATTTATTAAGCACCTACTGTGTGCTAGTCCTATACTGGAATAAGAAAAGATGCTTTCTCTGATGGCACTCATAAAGCAGTAGGGAGATAAACACATAAACAGTGAACAATAACAGAAACAAGAGAAGGGTAACTGAATAGCCATGTCACACAGTGGATAGGCAAGTCTGTGACGCCTCCACCTATGCCAAGCTACCTCAGGTCTTCTCAGGACAGGGGGACACACATGGACTGGTATGGCCAGGGAAGGCCTCTGGGGAGTGGAAGCTGCAGCAGAGCCCTGAGAGCTGGAGCAAGAAAAGATGTCCCTGGTGTGAAGCACAATGCAAAAAGACCTGGAGATTAAATGATGATGTGGATGATGAACACCAAGAAGCAATGTGACTGAAATCGGAAAGGGGTGGACACCTTGTGGAGGATTCCCAAGACAGAAGAGGGACATCTAGGGCAGAATAACTTGGAGATCAGACAGAAGAACTTTTCTTGATTAAAAGACTGACACAGATTGTAGGTCAGACGAGGTAGCTCAAGCCTGTAATCCCAGCACTTTGGGAGGCTGAGGCGAGCTGAGAGGATTGCCTGAGCTCAGGGGTTCGAGACCAACCTGGGAAACTTGGTGAGATCTTATCTCTAAAAAGAAATGAAAAAAATAAGCCAGGTACGGTAGCTACCTCCTGTAGTTCCAGCTACTTGGAAGGCTGAGGCAGAAGGCTCGCTGGAGCCCAACAGTTTGGGGCTGCGGTGACTGTGAGTGTGCCAGTGCACTCCAGCCTGGGCAACAGAGTGAGATTCCGACTCAAGAAATAGATAGATAGATAGATAGATAGATAGATAGATAGATAGATAGATAGATAGATAGATAGATAGATAAAAGACTGACACAGATTAAATTGCTTGGTTTGGTTCTAGAATAAGTGTGTACATCCAAACCACACTCTTTGAGTGCTATAAGCCTTCTCCAAAACTTTCAACCTCCTAGTGGGTTCAGGATAAGAAGGTTTGGATCCCTGATAGATGCTTACCTATTTTGCACCCTGCACTGGTGGAAGGCTAGTTGAAGTTACTGCTGTTCCACCTGATGCCTGACATTCCCACCTTCAGTGAAATTATTCTGTCAGGATGAGAGCAAAGATTGCGCTTTATAAGGAGAACCAGGTACCTCTCATCTACACAGGGCACAGACAAGAAAGATGTGTTTAATGGTCATGGGAAGGATTTGGATTGGACACAGGAAGTCTTACTTGTCAGTAGGATTTGCTGAAACATAAGAATAAGTTCCTAAAGAAATCTACGGCATATTCTTTACAGAGGGTCTTTAAAAATTATATCCATATATGCCAACTGCCTAGAATGAGAAATACTTATTTTTACATTGTTTCACACCCCAAAAGTGAGTGGTAAAAGCCAGCTTTATATTTTTTTCTGCTTTATTTGTGATCCTGCTTTTCAGTTCCATCAGCACCAGAGAACCCCAGGACATTTATATTACCAAGTGGAAAATACTATAACAAGAATGAAGTTGTGGTAGAATTTAGGTGGAATAAACCTAAGCATGAAAATGGTGTGTTAACAAGATTTGAAATTCTCTATCAAATGTCCAACCAAAGTGATACAAACAAAACATTCAAAGACTGGATTGCTGTCAATGTCACTCCCTCAGTGATGTCATTTCAACTTGAGGGCATGAGTCCCGGGTGCTTTATTGCCTTCCAGGTATGAGAGAAAACCAAGATATGGGAGTCTTAATAGTGGAAATGAAGATTGATTAAAGGTCTAGGTCAATAATTCTGCCCCCGTTAATAATTTGAGGCACAATGTGAACAAAGGTTCAAGTGGGCTGTAGAAGTACAGAAGGGAGAGGGGATAACCTGAGTAGAGGACATTTTAACAATTTTCCTACATTCAGGGTAATTTACAGAGTCAAAGTTATTCTTTTTCTTTTATTTCTTTTTTTAAAGTTGCACCACAACTTATGAGTGCTTCAGCTAAGTAAATATTCTGGATAAGTGTATCTGTTTATATACATATAATTTTGAATTTTAGTCACCATAGAATTGTGCAAAGTGATATGCATGAGTATATATGAGTTTCATTTAAAACAGTGTGAAGATTGTTTAAGATATATATATAAATCATTATAAATCAAACACAGATAGTAATATATAGAATATAATAAAATGTATTCAATTATCCAATGTTTTATTGATTGAGAGAGCACTTGAGGCTCTGCATTTTGAGACCATAATTATGATAATTTTCTTTATAGGCTACTGAACACATGCAAGGTTTGGAAATGAAAATAATTTCTTACACAATAAAAATCTTGATTAAAAAAATTTTAAAGACCTTTGCTGTTAACATACGGCATAGCACAGTGGGAAGAAACATTAGACTTCAGATGACTTGGTTTTTATGCCAGTTTCTACTTGTGTCATTATGGATGAGTTACTTACCTTAGTGTGATTCTGGTGTACTTTCTGCTCTTCGCAGTTGTGAGGATCAAAAGAGATAATGTATGTGAAAGTGACTTGATATGCACAGTCATTTTCAAATGTAAGGTTTAATTATCATTAAAATAAATCTTCTTTTTAAAAAATATAGCTTTACATTAAGCCCCCAGATCTTTTTTAGAAATTTATTATTATTATTATTTGCAAGAGAGATCTTTGCCATTTTTTTGTACTTTTCTAGACAAGAAAACCAACAACATGAGTACAGGTCAATATTTTTCTTCTTAGTGATTTATTGCTATATGTTGATGTAAATAACTATTCAAAAGTATTAATAATGTGTATCAGCAGTGTGAAATAAAACATTCAATAACTTACCAGTCTCAGAATTTAACTATTGCCCCTGAGAACACTGTTGAATGCACTTTTTTGTTTCCTTTTCTTTTTTTTAGATTCGGGCCTTTACATTTAAAGGGCCAGGACCATTTTCTGACATAGTGAAGTCTACAACATCAGGTAATTGTTATCTAAAATCTGTGCAAATAGTAATTAAAAATAGTTTTTGCTCACTGGTATCTTTTGAGATATGAACACTCTCGGTGCTGAAGTTAAGGTCAAATAAATTTAATCAGGTTTTTATCATCACCAAAATATGTTTAAACAAACCTAGCATGAGAGAACCTGGAGTCTTCATTGAGACAGTTGTGTTAGTTGAACCCAAAGGTGGCCCAAGAATTTCAAAACTGCCTGACATTGAATCAAGAGACTTCGCTAATATTAATTTTCTATAGATATAATCTACTTGTTTTTTGTTTTCAGAAATCAACCCATTTCCTTACCTCATGATTCTTCTTGGCAACAAGATAGTTTTTTTAGATATGGATCAAAATGAAGTTGTGTGGACATTTTCAGCAGAAGGAGATATCAGTGCCATGGGTTACACAGCTGATAATGAGATGGGGTATTACAGTGAAGGAGGCTCCCTCTTTCTTCTGAACTTGCACAATCGTTCCAGCTCTGAGGTATTTCATTATGTAATTCTTTTGAAATAAAAGCAATGGAGCATTAACGTATTACTCTACCCTATTATTAAAATGACTGGCCAATGGTTGAAGGTTAGAATGATTGAAAGGAACAGTTGCTGTATAATCATTTAGCCACAAATTAATACAGAATAGATACTGGGCAAATCTCACTCAGGATTAATTTAGTACATAGTTGTTAGTCTTAAGGCACTGTGCTAGTTCCTGGGATACAGAGGTACAAATTTATAAGCTTTGCTCCTAACAAACCCAGTCTAGTTTTTGTCTAACACTAAGAAGACAGTATGGCACTGGGACTAAGAAGGTGCATTTTGGAATCTGACTAATCTAGAATTTAATTCTGCTTCCACCACCTATTAGATTTGTGATGATTGGCAAGTTATTTAACTGCTACGGTTAAGTAGTACCTCCTCATAGGGTTCCCATGAAGATTATAAGAGACACTCTGTGTAAAGCACTTAGCACAATAACTGGCATGTGGTAGGCATTCACTGAATATTAACTAATAGGGAAGACAGACAGGATAACCACTACGCTGAGAGCAGGGTGTGGTGGAATCACAGAGAAGGAACCCAGTCTAGGATGGGGTGGTGATGACAGAGTGGAAAAATGTCTTGGAAACAAAGAAGACGAGCCAGGTAAAGGTAGGAAAAGACAGAAGGAGCAGCAAGTGCAGACAGGAAAACAAGAAGCCATGGTGTGTTTAGGATGCAGGTGGGGGTGAGGTGGAGTGAAAGGCAGGAAGGGAAGATGGAGAGGTGGACTTGAGCCTGAGCAAATGAACCTCCTTGAATGTGCTAAGGAGTCAGGCGGCAATCTGGAAGCCAACAACGAGCCACTAAGAAAATGTAGCAGATCGTTAGCATGGTCAGGTGTTTTTAAAAAATTTTTATTTTATTTTGTTAAGAATATGTGGTTGCTTTTTATTTTTATTTTTTTTAATTTTATTTTATTATAGGAATATGGGGTGAGGAACACATGACAACACAAAGGGTAATAGATTCATTACTAGGGGGCGTGAGGACCAGTTGAAAGCCCAAACTTCACCTGCATGCAGCCTACTTACATAGTTAATCCTTATCGCCAATCCCTCCCTTGTGCTAATGTGACTAATGTTCAAGGACCACTTATGAGTGAGAACGCGTAGTATTCAGATCTTTGTTTCTGTGATAGTTCACTTAGTATTATGGTGTCCAATTGCATCCAATTTGCTGCAAAGTCCATGATTTTGTTCTTCTTTATGGCTGCATAATACTTCATCATGCATATGTACCACATTTTCTTTATCCAGTCCACTTTCAATGGGCAGTACGGTTGGTTCCATATTTTTGCTATTAAGATTTCCTTAACTGTTTCTCTATTGATGCTTATTTGATCTGCTATGCTTCTCAGTCAGCTGATGATTTTGATGTACAATTTGATGAATTTTTACAATGTTTTAATCAGTTCTGCCTGTTACTGACAATCCTAACCTCTCTTCATCAGTGACACTTTCTCTACCCTCAGAAGAACATTTAATCCACTTGGACTAGCATGTCCCTGATTTCATTTCTATTCTTGCCAAGTTTAACAAGAAATTTAATGTTTGTTCATTAATCTAATTCAAGTTCTGACATTTTGTGAAGGCACACAAAAACATGCAACAGCAATAATGAATGCCACTCAGCAAGATACCATCACGTGTCAACACAAACACAACTGTGACATACTGATATTCTAAGGTTATGAAACCTTATGGAGTTGTTTGTACAGTGCTGCCAACGTAAGTGCATGGTGGCAAGTTCACAAATTTAATTGTCAGACCTCATATGGAAGATCAATTTTTAAGTCTTTTACGAATCACCACACTGCTTTCCACAGAGGTGAGCTAGCTTGCACTCCCACCAACAGTGTAGAAATGTTCCCTTTTCTCTGCACCCATGTCAGCATTTGTTGTTTTTTGACTTATTAATGATAGCCATCCTTACTGAAGTTACGTGGTATCTCATTGCGGTTTTGATTTGCATGTCTCTGATGATTAGTGAGGCTGAGCATTCTTTCATGTGTGTGTTGTCTGTTCCTCTGTTGTCTTTTGAGAAGGGTCTGTTCATGTCCTTTACCTACTTTTTGATGGAGTTTGTTTTCTTCCTTTCACTTTGCTTGAGTTCCTTGTAGATCCTGGATGTTAGTACTTTGTCAGATAAATAATTTGCAAATATTTTTTCCCATTCTATAGGTTGTCTCTTTACTCTTTTATTGATTTATTTTGCTGTGCAAAAGCTTTCCTGTTTGATGAGTCCCCATTGTCTATCTTAGCTTTTATAGCATTCACTTTTGGGGACCTGCTCAAGAATTGGTTGCCTATTCGGATGTGCATAAGGGTGTTTCCTATGTTTTCTTCTAGATTTTATGTTTAGGTCTTTGATCCATTTTAAGTTGGTTTTTGCATATAATGATAGGTAGGGGTCCAATTTTGTTCTTCTGCATGTGGTCAGCCAGTTTTTCCAGCACCGTTTGCTAAATATGGTCTCTTTCCACCAGTGATTGTTATTGGTGTCTTTGTTGAAGATGAATTGGTTGAGAAACCATGATTTTGCTTCTGGAATCTCTGTCCTGTTCCCTTGGTCTATGTGTCTATTCTGTACCAATACCAGACTGTTTTAGTTACTATAGCTTTGTAATAAAGTTTAAAGTCTGGAAATGTGATACCTCCCGCTTTTGCTGAGGATTGTTTTGTCTAGTCATGCTCTTTTTCTGTTTCCATATTAATATTTTTAACTTTTAATTTTTAATTTTAAAGATGTGGGGTACAATTTAGGGTTAAGTATACAAATGTCCATTATGTAGGTATCCTTGTTGATGAGGTATGCCCCCTTTTCTACTGGCAGATTCCCACTACTGCTAATCCCACTTCCCCACCCTGCTCCCGGCAGTTTTCCACTACTGTCAATTCTTTTCTTATAGTATTATAATAATTGTTTAAGGTCTGCTTATGCGTGAGAACATGTGATACTCAGTTCTTTTATTCTGTGAAAGACCACTCAGTGTTATAGTTTCTAACTCCATCTAGCTTGCCATGAAGTTCATGATTTTGTACTTCTTTATGACTGCATAATATTCCATTGTGTATATGTAACACATTTTAAAAATCCAGTCCTCTTTTGATGGGCAGCACGGCTAGTTCCAGGCTCTTGCTACTGTGAACAATGCTGCGATAAACATACATGTGCAGGTATCTGTTTTATAGAGTGATTTGAGTTTTTCCGGGAATATTCCCAGTAGGGGGATTGTGGGTCGTATGGAAGGTTGATTTTTAGATCTTTTAGGAATTGCCACACTGTTTTCCACAGAGGCTATACTAGTTTACACTCCCATCAACAAACAGTGTAGAAGGGTTCTCTTTTCGCTGCATCCTCTCCAGCATCTGTTGTTTTTTGAGTTATTGATGATGGCCATCTTGACTGGAGTTAAGTGGTATCTCAGTGTGGTTTTAATTTGCATTTCTTTGATGATTAGTGAGGCTGAGCATTTTTTCATGTATCTGTTAGCTGCTCATATATTTTCTTTTGAGAACTGTCTATTCATATCTTTTGCCACTTTGTAATGGGGCTGTTTGTTTTTTTTCTTTTTGGCACGCTTGAGTTACTTGTAGATCCTAGATGTTAGGCCTTTGTCAGACATACAGTTGGCAAATTTTTTTTTTTTTTGAGTTGGAGTCTCACTTTCACCCAGATTGGAGTGCAGTGGCTGCTCCCAGCCACCGCAACCTCGACCTGCTGGGCTCCGGCGATCCTTCCGCTTCAGCCTTCCAAGTAGCCGGAATTACAGGCGCGCGCTACCACGCCCGGCTGATTTTTTGATTTATTGTAGAGATGAGGTCTTGCTGCCCAGGGGGTCTCGAACTCACGTGCTCAGGCAATCCACTCACCTCAGCCTCCCAAAGGCACGGGATTACAGGCTGAGCCACCGAGCCCAGCTCAGCAAATATTTTTTTCCCAGTCTGTGGGCTATCTCCCTGCTCTCTTGATGATTTCTTTGGCTTTGCAGAAGTTTGTCGGTTTGATGAGGCCCCACTTGTCTATCTTATCTCTTATGACATGGGAACTTGGGGTTTTGATCAGGAATTGATTGCTAGTTCCCATTTCCATAAAGGAGTATCCTGCATTTTCTAAGATTCCTATAGTTTGAGGTTTTACATTTAGGTCTTTGATCCATTTAGAACTGTTTTTTGTGTATGGTGCTAGATGGGGATCTTACTTTAATCTTCCCATATAAATTTCTGTATTGTCATTTCCAGTTCTGAAAAAACTGATGAAGGTAATTTGATGGGAATTGAATTGAATCTGTAGATTGCCTTTGGTAGAATGGACATATTGACAATATTGATTCTTCCAATACACGAACATGGATTCTGTCATCCTTGATTTATTCAAACAGCATTTTGTAGTTCTTGTTGTAAAAGTCTTTCACTTCTCTGATTAGGTAAATGCCAAGGTATTTCAGTTTGTGTGTGTATGTGTGTGTGTGTGTGTGTGTGTCTGTGTGTGGTGTGGCTGTTGCAAATGGGATTGTGCTTTTTATTTGGTTCTCTACCTGCTTGTTGCTGGTGTGTAGAAATATGACTACCTTTTATACACTGATTTTATAACTTGAGACCTTACCAAAGTTATTTATCTGTTCGAGAAGGCTTTTGACACATTCCCTGGGGTTTTCGAAGTATAGAATCATATCATTCACAAAGAAGGATAGCTTAACTTACTCTTTTCCTATTCGGATACTCCCGATTTCTTTCTCTTGCCTGATTGCTCTCGTTAGGACTTCCAGTACTATGTTGAACAGGAAGGGTGAGGGTGGGCTTCCTTGTCTTGTTCCATTCTTATGGGAAATGCTTCCAGCTTCTGCCCATTGAACAAAATGTTGGCTGTGGGTTTATCATAGATGGCTCTTGCTGTTTTAAGGAATCTTCCTTCTATGCCTAGGTGCTTAAGAGTTTTTTTAATCAAGAAGGGATGCTGGATTTTGTGAAATGCTTTTTCTGCATCTGATAATATAATCATGTGGTTCTTGGTTTTACATCTGTTAATGTGCTGAATTATTTTTATGGCCTTATGAATGTTGAACCAGCCATGCATCCCAGGAATAAAGCCCACCTAGTCATGGTGGGTGATCCTTGAGATGTGTTGTTGGATCCTATTTGCTAGAATTTCGTTGAGAATTTTTGTGACTATGTTCATCCAGGATATTGGCCTGTAATTCTCTTTCCTTGTTGAGTCTTTGCTGAGTTTGGGTATCAAACTCAGCATAAAATGAGTTGGGACAAACTTCATCATTCTCAATTGCCTGGAATACTTTTGATAAGATTGGTATCAGCGTCTTCTTGTATGTTTTGTAGAATTCAGCAGGAAAGCCATTTTGATCTGGGGCTGTTTTTTGGTGGGAAGATTTCTTATGACTGAGTTGATTTTCTGGATTGTTACTGGTCTGTTTAGAGTTTCAATTTCTTCTTGTTTCAACCTTGGGAAGTTGTGTGGTATCAGAGCGTCCTCCATTTCCTTTAGGTTTTCTAGTTTATTTGCATATAGGTGTTCATAGTAATCTCTGATAATCTTCTGAATTTCTTCAGGGTCAGTTGTGACTTTGTCTTTTGTGTTTCTAGTTGTGTTTAATTGTAATTTCCCTCTCTTTTTTTAGCTAAGCTTCCCTGGGGTCTGTCAATCTTATTTATCATTTCAAATAGCCAGCTTTTTGTCTTATTGATCCCTTCTGTGATATTTTTGTCTTCTATATCCTGTAATTGTGATTTTTATCTTGGTGATCTGAATTCTTCTGCTGAAGTTAGGATTTAGATGATCCTGCCTTTCCTGCTCCCTTAGGTGTGATGTCAGGCTGTTTACATGCGATCTTTCTGTTTTCTTGATGTGTGTGCGTGCAATGCTATGATTTTTCCTCTTAACACTGCTTTTGTGGCATTCCAGAGATTCTGATAAGATGTCTTTGTTTTCACTTGTTTCCAAGAATCGTTTTATTTCTTTGTTGACCCAGAAGTCAATCAGCAGCATGTTGTTTACTGTCCATGTCTTTGTGTGCTTTGGAGGAGCTTGTTGGTAGCAATATTTATTCTTATTCCACTGTGATCTGAGAAGATGCATAGTATTATTTTGATCTTTGGAATTTGTTCACTCTTGATTTATGTCTGAGAATGTGATCAATCTTGGAATATTTCCACGTACATAGAGTATTTCCATGTACATTGTGTAGATGTTGGGTAGAGTGTTCTGTAGATGCCTGTTAAATCCACTTGATTGATTGTCAGTTTAAGGTGCCAGATCTCCTTGTTGGTTTTTTTGCCTTGATGATTTATCAATTTAGCTGTTAATGGGGTATTTGAGTCTCTAACTATGATTGTGTGAGAGTCAATGTCCTCTTTTTGCTTACTTAGTAGTTGTTTTATAAAACCTTATGTTCCTGTGTTGGGTACATATATGTTTAAGATGGACATTTCTTGCTGGTGGATTGAGCCTTTTATCATTATGTAGTATCCTTCTGTGTTCTTTTTAACTTTTGATGGTTTGAAGTTTGCATTGTCTAATCAAAATCCTGCTTTCTTCTGTTTTCCATTTGCCTGATAGATCACTTTCCCACTTTCCAACGCTCAACTTTGAGCCTACGGGTGTCCTTTGCAGTAAAATGAGTTTACTGGAGGCAGCAGACTATTAGATCATGCTTCTTTTCCAGTTTGCCACTCTGTATCTCTTCAGGGGCACACATAGTCCATCCATGTTCAAACTGATTATTAAAATGTGAGTTTTTATCCCTGTCATAGGGCTCTTTAGGGATTGCTTTGTTTTCTTTTTACTTTTGTATTTATATATGTATTTTCATTTTTGTGAGTGCTCCGTATGCTCTGTTAACTCCATGTTTGCCAGTAGTTTTGCAATGGATATGACCCTGTTCTTTTTTTTTATGTTCAATACCTTTTTAAGCACCTCCTGAAGGACTGGAGGTGGCATAATCTCTTAGGGATTGGATGTCTGAGAAGTAATGAATTTCTCTATTACTGATGAAGTTTAGCTTGGCAGTAGGAAATTCTTGATTGGAATTGCTTATCTTTAAGAACGTTAAAGATTGAACTCTAATTCCTTCGGTATTACGATGTTTCTGCAGATAAGTCTGGAGTGATTCTGATGGGTAATCCTTGGTAGTTAGTTTGACATTTCTCTCTTACTGTTCTTAGGATTTTTTCTTTCACGCTTACTTACTTTGGAAGCAGATTACTATGTGTCTTGGTTTTGGTCTTCTCATGTAATATCTTGTGTGTGTGGGGGGGTGTCTCTGAATCTCTTGTGCTTGAATGGCTGCCTCTCTAGTGAGATGTGGGACATTTTCTTAGATGATCTCATGGAATGTTTGTTCAGTGGTGTTCCCAGTTTCCCTTTCTGCTTCAGGGATACCAGTCAGGCATAGATTTGGCTTCTTGACATGGTCCCACATCTCTCAGAGGCTTTACTACTTTTTGGGATTTTTTTTCCCCCATGTTTTTGACAGACTGGCTTATTTCCATATTTTGGTCTTTAAGCTCTGAGGTTCTTTCCCATGCTTGGTTGATCCTGCTCCCTATGCTTCTTACTTTGTTTTTGATTTCCAGGATAGAGTATTTCATTTCCATTATTTCAGAACAGGCTTTTCTGAAATTGGTCAACTCTGCTTTTACTTTCTGTATGACTTTGGTAAGTTTTGCTTTTAGTTTCTCCTGGTTCTCTCTGTTCATTTTAGCTATCCAGTCTCTGATTTCTGTGACTGTCATCTGGGGCAGGACATTTGAGGAGTTTCCATTGTTTGTGCTCTGATAGTTGTTTTTTGGGGTGCTGTCTTGTGAGTACTTAGAGGGTTGCCTATATTTTTTCATCTATTTTTCCTCATTTGTGACAGGTCTTTCTTCCCTGTCCATAATTCCTTCTGGTTATGTTGCTCTGAAACTAGTCACTGACCCTCTGTTCTAGGGCCCTTTCTGTGGTTCAGTGTTGGTCACTCAGTGAGAGAGAGGGGGCATTCACTTCTGCTCCTTGCTCCACCCTGTGGCAGGGTTTCTCAACTCTAGCAACTCCTGCTGCTAGCACGCCACAGAGAGTGGATGGGGGTTGGGCTCCCCATCTGCTGTCTGCAGGTTGTGGCCTAGAACCTTCCCACTGAGAAAGCTGTTCAGGTGTCTTTCGTGTTGCTCCCTCCCTGTTCGAGTTCATATTCTGCTCTTAAAAAAGAATGATTTCCCAGCCACGGGGTAGGGAGGAGGGGATCTACCCTGCAGACACACAGGGCTTGGAAGTGATTCTTCCTGATCTGACTGGGAAGATGGGCCAGGCACCAGTAAGCTTCACTCTGCAGATTGGCTTTCCCTGCCTGGGAGCTGGCCGGAGCTGTGCTCACAGCTGCTGACCCAATATGGGGTTTTTCTTTTTTCTCCCTCTTCTTCTTGGGGTTCAGCTGCCCACCACTGCCCTTATCAGGACTCCTCCTGCATGACTCACACAAGGCTGGAAGGGGGTGAAGCTTCTTAGATATATTCACTCACTCTCATTCACCAGCAAGGCTTAATTTCCTGTGTGAGTCTGGCAAATGACAGGGGATGGGGATCCAGATTCTTGCATCTGCCATTGTTTTCTGGTCTCTATGTGTTCAAAGAGACCTTTGCTGGGTGCAAGGTGCTTCACCCATCCAAAGGTTTTCAGGGTGTCTCCGTCTATCAGCAGCTTGGTCTCTACTCTGTCTTGCTTGTTGAGAGTGGTGCTGCTCTGCTGCTCCATGGTAGCCAAGTTTGTTTTTTTTTTAAAAAAAAAGATCTTTCTGTCAACATTATGAATAATGACTTAGGCAGAAAATGTTATGGCCTGAGCAAGGTCATGGGCAGTGAGGTGAGAAAGAAAATGACAAATTGGACATTTAAAATGGGACTAGTTTGCTGAGGGTAATAATGTAAGGAAGAAGTGAAGGAGGAACTACATTTCCACATTTGCTGGAATGGGTTCCTTGGGTGAATGTTGAAAATCCATAAAAATATAGGATGCAAGAGGAAAAGAGATTTTGGGGTGGGTGAGGAATTGTGTTTTCTGGTGTTATTCATATGGAGTGGCTCAGTAAACAGTTTGATATTTGAATAACTCAGTGAAGGATCTTGCTTGAAGAGGTGGATATGCAGCACTGGTTTATGGATTATGGTTGAAGCCACAGTAGTTAAAATTATCTGGAGAAAATATACAGTGTGAGAGGAGGACCCATGCTATGATGATATATAGTCCAGAAGTATTGAGGCTTTGGATTACAAAGGAGAAGCTTAATACGTGATACGGGTGATTATAGAAATATCTTTAAATATTTAGAAAACCACTATCTACTTGGCTGTGTTCTCTTCCTATTGTTAAGCTTTTCCGAGATGCAAAGTTTTCTGAAATCACAGTTATTACAATTGACTGGATTGCAAGGCACCTCTACTTTGCACTCAGAGTATCACAAAATGGAATGCAAATATTTGATGTTGATCTTGAACACAAGGCAACATATCCCAGAAAACTGAAGATTTGCAACAGGAATTCAACAATAATTTCTTTTTCTGTATATCCTCTTTTAAGGTATGTAAGTATGAGCATCTCTTCATATTTTGATGCCATGGACATATTTAATATAATATCTTTGACTTAATATTAGAAATCAGTCTGGGAAAGTAAGGTGCTTAAGTGTTCTTGGTTCACCCATTTTATAAAGAGGAAACAGGTATTAGAGTTGCTTCTATCTTATAGGAAGTAATTTTGCATATAAATTGTGAGCCCACAGACACAAATATGCAAAGTTAATCCATAATGACAATTTGACTATCATAAACTTAGACTAATTGCCAGCAGGAAACAATAGCAGATTTTTATACTATGCAAATGTGGTAATACCAGTTGGTAAGGACAAGACAGGGACTGAGACAGTGCCAGGAGATGAGCAGAAACAGATGGGCAGCATGTCTTGCACAGCAAAAGTTATTCCGGGCTCATCCATCTTAGTTTAACTTATATCCTCATAAGAAGAGTTTTAAGATCCCCATTCAGCACCCGAGTGGCAACTTCCCAGGCTGGAAACCTATGTTACAGTTTGTGTCATAAGCATGGAAATATGTTATTTTGAAACTAGATTGTTAGCTGGTACCAAGAAGCGAAAACAAACTTGAGATGAGGGAAACAGAGATGGCTATTGATGGAAGTATGCAAATGTATTCCACACTTATAGCCATTAATACAATGCCTGAGGCCATTATAGCCCAAGGCTTTAGATGTAAACACATTTACCAAGAAATCATTGGAACTGCTGCAAGTTAGACTTCTTCTAACTTCCTATCTCAGAAGAAAGTTATTGGACACTTGAACATGCTGCCTCCCAAGGCTGCATTTGTTCCCCCAATCATTAAGAATGGTTAATCTACAATGGAAACCAATATTTAAAGTGATATATACTCATTAAGTTGGAGGGACCTTTCTTTTCCCCCCCTCTATAGTCGCTTGTATTGGACAGAAGTTTCCGATTTTGGCTATCAGATGTTCTACTACAGTATTACAAATCACACCTTGCACCGCATTCTGCAGCCCACAGCCACAAACCAACAAAATGGAAGGAATCAATGTTCTTGTAATGTGACTGAATCCGAGTTAAGTGGAGTAATGGCTATCGATACCTCTGACCTGAAGAAACCACTAATCTACTTTGCCAAAGCACAAGAGATTTGGGCAGTGGACTTGGAAGGTTGTCAGTGTTGGAGAGTTATCATGGTGCCTGCTATGTTTGGTAAGAGGCTGGTGTGTATATACAGCTCTTCATTAAAAACAGCAGCTCCCCCGCATTCCATCAAAAAGGGCTTGCATTACCCATGTACTCAAAAGCGTATGTATGTGGGATTTACACTGGACCATGTCAAGTGTTCTTGTAGAATTCAAATCAAGTTATTTCTAGGAAAATTATATGTAAGCATTCATATAATTTTCTAAATCTGTGGGGGTTTTTATTTTTAATTTTAGCGTCGTGGGGTACATGTGAGGATTTGCTATATGTGAATTGTGTGAAGGTGAGGTTTGACTTTCTAGCTAGTCCTCTCTCCCCCTGGTAGAGGACATGTTACCCAATGAGTGGTTGTGTGTCCCTCATCCTCCTCCCTTCCTCCCTCCTTTATCAGTACCCAGCATCATGTTTTCCCACCTTTTTGCTTGCATACCCAATATCTCACTCGTTTATGAGTGAGAACATGTGGTATTCAGTTTTTTGTTTCTGGACAATTCACTTAGAATGATGGTTGCCAGCTGCATCCATATGGCTGCAAAGTTCATGATTTTGTTCTCCTTTATGGCTGTGCAGTATTCCATCATTTGTATGTATCGCATTTTCTTTATCTAGTCCACTTCTGATAGGCATCTGGGTTAGTTCCATGTTTTTTTGCTGTTGTGAATAGTGCTCCAATAAATATATTCATGCAAATATCTTTTTGGTAGATGTAAATCTATTTTTTAAAAAATGAATTAATAATAAGGCTACAATTTAATGTGCTTTTTATATTCTAAGTATGCTACCAAATGCAGATTGTATTTAATCTTCATAATACCTCAATGAGGTAGGTACTAATAAATCAAAATCCTATGATAGCTAATAGCTACTGTTGGAGGGACAATATAAATACAAAACATTTCTATCATCGTTGAAAGTTTTATTGATTAGTACTGGATTACATAGTGAAGCTTCAGAACAGAAAGTCGTACAAGTATGTGTGTGCACACATGTATGTACGTGTTAAAGTTGCACATATAGTTTTGTTGACATGTCACCCAGATCCTTTTAGGACCAATTCCTATATACCCTCAATTAGCTTAATGGTAGAGATAATGGTTTGAAGTTCTCCTCTTAGGTAAATTGCCTGTTTGTTTTGTTAAATCAGTGACAAAGACTCTTTACTTGACCAAACTTTAGTTATGATTCTCTGAGTCCTCTTCTTGACTAGGCCTCAGCCTTGGTCTTCCTGTGTCTATCCTTGCTGAGTCCAGTTTAAGCAAGAATCGTATAAAGTCAATTCAGAGAGAAACTTCCACCCTTGATACCTGATCAAGTTCTTCATCTCCACCCCTGATGGCCCTCGGCCTGCCTTTAGCAAGAATTCTGTTAGGTTAGTTGAACAAGGATCCGTCTGTCCTGATGTTTTCTCTTAGTAATTGTCCATCCACTGACTCCCTCACTCAGTTTGTTGTCTATACATTTCCAACGATTTTTGTTGTGTTGTACTACCTCTATCACCCCTATTTCAATATTGCACTAGTCTAAAGTATTTCTTACTATTTTAATAAATATCAGAATATTTTTTTCTTTAATATGCAACACACAAGAATTACCTAGCGAGCCACTGTCACATAAATATAAAGCTGGTCAGTCTCATAAATCTGTAATTGAAATCCTAAAATTAGAAAATGACAAATCCTTTAGAGATCATTTAGCTGTCAAGATGTTTCAAGAAATGCTTTCTTCAAACATAGTTTTGCTTAAACACCTGTTTATAAAAATTGCTACTTTAAAAGGAAGTCTGATTAATTTTTTGGATAATTCTGAAAATTGTATTTTTTCCTTATATTTAGTCATAGTCTTCTCTCCATTTTTCCCATTCATGGGTCTTAGTTCTGACCTCTAAGTTGACAAAGAATAAATTAATCACTTTCCACATAATAGTCATTCAACTATGCAAAGATAGCTGTCATAGCCCATTCTAAGCATTACGAATTTTTTTAGAGGAAAAATTCAAGTATCTATAACTACTCTTCAGGTGATATGGCATCTATATCTTTCTCTGCCCTAGTCACCCTCCTGTGATTTCACTCTAGCTGGTAAATAACCTCTTAATGTTGTCCTTGTAATGACACTCAGTACTTTCAATGTGTTCTGGTTCGTGAAGGGGAATTCTGATTACCTAGGTCTTCTTTCTATTGTAGTTGAAAATGGCATCAGGTATTTGGGTTGCTTGCCATTTGAAAACTCATAGTCTTTTTCACATTAGTTATTATTAAGCCAGATATCTTTCATTTGTTCATTTGTGGTTTTAAACTTGAATTTAGGATTTTATGTTTGTTCCTATCAAATTTCAATCTATTCCCTAGTTCTAATGTGATAGCTTTTAATTTCAAGCTGTAACTGAACCTGCTAGTGACACTGATAATCATTGTATTATCTGCAAACTTGACACATATGTTTATTATACATTTATTCTAAACCATTGATAAAAGTTTTGAGCAAGGCATTGAGCTCTATGCCTTCATCTAATACCTCTCTCAAATTGGTATCATTTGATATGGAGTCACATAGGTGGGTTTTAAGTCTTGGCTCTGCTCTTTAAACTTTGTGACTTTGAGCAGATTATTTAACTCTTTCAAGTCTCAATTTACCCTTCTACAAAACAAGACGTAATAATAGTATTTATTTCACTGTCTTGACATAGTGCTAAAATGAGAAAATACCTCTCAAACTTCTAACCAAATGACATGAAAGAAAATTATTTTTTATTGAATCATAGAAAGATTCAAAATTTAGCAGTTAGAATGTAGAAAAAAGATTTCACAGGTTGTTTGGAGTAGAAAATTTAAGATATGTATTTTGTTCATTGTTTTATGTTCTTTATGTTTTTAAGCAGCAGGAAAAACACTTATTAGCTTAACTGTGGATGGGGAATTTATATATTGGATCATCACAGCAGAGGACAACACACAGATTTATCAAGCAAAGAAAAGAAATGGGGATGTGTTCTCCCAATTAAAGGCCCGAAGGAGTAAGCATATCTTGGCTTACAGTTCAGTTATGCAGCCTTTTCCAGGTAATAAAGTCACATTCATAATCAGGTTGTTTTCCCAGTTTAGGGTCAGAAAAGCCTCATGACATCTCCTTTTCCGAGGTTGTCCTTGCAACTCCTTTGTTGTGCTCTCAGCCCTGTCCCAAACTCTGTCAGCCTTCAGTGTGCACTATGGCTGCTATTTGCGCTGGACCACACATGACCTCTGTGTGTATACACAGTTAGGGCTGTGTTGGCAACTTCAGACATAGGAAGCTGTGTCCTGTTATTCTCTCTGCCTGTCCTTTTTCTCTTCTCAGTCCTGTAATGTCTCTTCTTTCTGTCTTTTTTCTTCTTTGATGATATTTTAGGCCTTCCAAGGGTGTCAAAAAGCATTGTGTAAAACCTCAGCTCTTTTTCAAAGTAGCAGATCATATTTCTTGTAGTACTAATGTAGTATTAGGGATTAAAGCATTATGTATTAATATGTAATATTATTATAATGTTATGAAGTACCATTTAACATGTGTAAATCTGTGCTACCGTTTTATTGTTTCTATCTTTTTAAAAATGTGTTACTGCTGAAGCTTTATATTGTACCCCTCATCCTACTTTCCTTGTAAGTGCTGGTAATTTTATTGTGTGATTTTTGTATAATGCAATGATTTATAGAAAGGCATGTATCACACTATAGCAGAACTGACTATATATTTTCTACTTAATATTATTCTCCTAATAAATTTTTTTGAAATCTAAAAGCCACACATAAGCAAAAACAAAAACAGTATTGCGTTGCCTCATTGAACTCTTATCAAGCTCTCTTTTGCCATTAAGAAGCAGGTGCCACTCTAAATTAAGTATATCTCTCTTGTAGAGAGACAGAAATGAATGAAACAAACTCCTTTTGTTTAAATGTATTCATTTACAAAATATGCAGATTGAAAAATGTAAGAATGTATAAGTACTCTTAATATTTGTGTAAGTAATTTGTTTTCCACTTTGAGAAATTTAAGATATTTTAAAAGTCTATGTGACTTCTGGTTTCTGATCTGGCATATAGGAAGATTGAAGGTTGCCACTCTGTCCTGATAAAAAGGAAAAAGCTGAGCAAACTGAAAACTCAACAACTCCTCTTGGATTTAAAAGAGAAGTGGAAAAAAAAAGAAGTGAGGTTGCAAGGCAAACTGCTGCCCCCTACACTGGAAGGACAGACAGATGTGTATAGCAAATGACAACTTACCAGAGCCAAACCCATGAAATGAAACTTTAGTGCGAACCAGTGGTGGAGGCAGAAAAAAGTCTAAGCTATAATTGATGCAGTTCTCTAGTCTCAGTGTGGGCAACTCAGAACTGTAGTGCCAGAGGGCCCCGTCATAGGGGTACCCCCACACTTTTGAGAGTTTTGCCTCTGGGAGCTTTACCTGTTTCTCACAGTGAATATTTTGGAAAAGTTCCTCGTGCTTCCAGCAAGTGGAGGCCAAAAGGAACCATACTGAAATGCACCAGGGCATTCAGTTCTTTTTACAAGGTCTGCCCTCAAGAGAAATTATTTAACCAGAGTCAGACCTACTGGGGTTTTATTACAGCCTAACTGACCTGGGCAGAGAAATACCCAACTGCAACCCACACTAGCCTTCCCGTTTCACCTAAGCAGGGTGGGGTACTGAGAAAAACTTGTGAAGTTCACAGTCCAGAGGTAAAGACTCTTTTAGTGAGTGTCATATCTACATGATTCAGCTATACATAAAGCAAGAAAGAACAATAGAAAAGGAATAAGTCAAGGTAAAATAAAAATTTTTATTTTTCTTACTCTTAATTGACCTTACAGATAACCGTTTGATCAAAATAATAATAATAGCAATAACAAATTGTGTATGCTTATGTGTGTATATAAATATATATATGTGCTTATCCATAATAAAAAACATGACACAATGTTACAAGGGACAGAAGAGAGAAATTATTTTGTTTAAGGTACTCACGTTACTTGTGAAACAGTAGTGTCATTTGTAAGCGAATTTAGGATTATTTATAAATATATCTTGCAAATTCTAGGGCAAATCACTAAAAATGTTAAAAAGAAAAGCATAACTGATTTCTTTTTTTTTTTTTGAGTTGGAGTCTCACTCTGTCGCCCAGACTGGAGGGCAGTGGCCGCTCCCGCCCACCGCAGCCTTGACCTGCTGGGCTCCGGCGATCCTTCTGCCTCAGTCTTCCGAGTAGCCGGAATTACAGGCGCGCGCTACCATGCCCAGCTGATTTTTTGATTTATTGTAGAGATGAGGTCTCGCTGCCCAGGCGGGTCTCGAACCCGCGGGCTCAGGCAATCCATTCACCTTAGCCTCCCAAAGGCGTGGGATTACAGGCTGAGCCACCGAGCCCGGCAACTGATTTCTAAGAAAGGAAAGAAGATAGAATAATATAAAATGCTCAATTAAAACCACAAAAGGGGGGGGAAAAGAGTAAAGGACAAAAATAGGAAAAAGAACAAAGGCAATAAATAGAAAACAGTAACAAATATGGCAAATATTAATTCAACTGTATCAATAGTCACTTTAAACATCAGTGCTCTATATACCAACTAAAAGAAAGCATTTGTCAGAATGTTCAAGAAACAAGTCCTAAAAAGAAAACCACTTTAAATATATGGACATATATACATCAAAAGTAAAGCGGTAGAAAAAGATATATCATGCTACCACTAATCAAAAGGAAGAAGGAGCAGCTATATTAACTTCAGACAGCACAGATGTCAGAGCAAGGAAAGTTATAAAAGATAAAGAGGTAAATTACCCAATAGTAAAGGAGTTGATTCTCCTAGAAGACATAATGATCCTTAAGTGTATGGGCCTAGCTGGGCTCGGTGGCTCAGCCTGAATCCCGCGCCTTTGGGAGGCTGAGGTGAGTGGATTGATTGCCTGAGCCCGCGGGTTCGAGACTCGCCTGGGCAACTTGGCGAGACCTCATCTTTA